GATCTATACAAATTAATCGATCACAATTTTTATGGCAACATTTGGGGGTTTCGGTTTTTCAATGGTTGAATGTTTTACACAACAACTAAACTATGATCATAGATCTGTATATTTGGGTTTTTCGGATGATTGATGCTTCCTTATGGTCTATAAAATTTTATGAGCTAAAAACCATTTTACAAAATGAATCAGAATTTTGTTTGGGGTTTTTTTTTATGGTACGAGTCTTGACAAACTTGATTTGTCAAAATGAATCAGTCTGTCAAACTTTTTTACAAAATGAATCATGTCTTGCTTAGTTAAAGTTTGAGGTATAGCATCCTCAATTGTTTATTCAAGTTGGACGATGACTTGTTTATGTGTTATTTACTATGATAATGATCATGTGGCTTGTAAGAATTTATGAGACGTGATGTTGTTGATCCATGTTTACGACCTGATTCTCCTCAAGAAAAAATGTTGGGCTGAACAAATATAAAAATATAATTGAGTTCACACATTCAATAATGTAGATTGTTTTCAATAGAAAAAAGAAAAGAACTTCTTATTGTAGCTTATGTTCCATGTTTGTTTGAGGAAAGGTTAACTTTGTATTAAAGAATTCTTTTCCACATGTGGGGGTTTTTGTTTTTCAGTGATTGAACATAATTTTTTGCTTTGATGCATTATCACTTTTTTATCATGTAATCCAAGCTAAATTTCTTATTTCGCTTGCTGAATAGCACGTCTCAAGTGATGATCTGTTGCTTGCACATTTACAAAATCCATATTTCAATGAATTTGGTGGTGATTTTCAGATTGATTCACTTCTCATTTGTATCATTAAGTTCTGTTCAACTTCTCTTCGGATTGTTCTTTCTTAAGGTCACTGTTATCTTAATTTCTCTTTGAACTTGGACTATATTCTTTGGCTCTGTGTAAGTTTTATGAAAGAGTATAGTGCCTGACCCCCACTTTTGTATATTGAGATGTTATTATGTCTATATAAAGGTTTGAATACATATATTTATATAGTTTATCTTTTTATGTAGGGGTACTTGACAAACTTAGATGGATCACACCGTTTCAGATTGTATGTCAGCTCCCACTTGTGCAATGGGAGACACCAATGAGCTCATAGAGCAGGTTCCTTATCTTGTCACCCCTCCTAGAAATTTCACAGAAATGCAAGATGGAGAACCTGACTCCTCAACCAAACTCTTAGAAAAAAATGTACCCCGTGTAGGAATGGGGTTTTCTTCAGAGGAAGATGCAATTGAGTACTATAAGGTTATGCATTGGCAAAAGGTTTTGGTATCCGTAAGGGCAGTACCCATAATGAAAAAGGTGAATGGATTCACAGGGAATTCTTTGCTCTATGGAAGGATTTTGCAAAGCAAATGATCAAGTCAGTGGAAAGGAACTTCTTGAATCAAGGTGTGGGTGTAAGGCTAAGCTTCGAGTCATTAAAAAAGCAGACAACAAGTAGGTCGTGACTAGGTTTATTGATGATCACAATCACGATCTAGTCAGTCCAAGAAAAGCTTGTCTAATTCGCAGCTACCGAACATTGTCTAGTGCCACAAAGTTGATGATAAATTACTTTGGCAATGGTTAAGCCAAGACATATTTATGACATATTCATAGCGCATGTTGGAGGGATCGAGAATGTCACATGTACACAAAAGGATATCGAGAATGAAATTGCTAGTGCTAAAAGGAAACTAAGAGGAGAAGATGGTAGTCTAATTATGCAATGGCTGTATAAAATGAAAGAATCGAATCCATTTTTTTTCTATAGATTGAAATTAGATGAAGACGATCACGTTTTCAACTTCTTATGGGTAGATGCGACATTTAAAGTATCATATCAATGCTTTTCTGATGTGGTTACATTTGATACCACATATAAAACAAACTCTTTTAGTTTGTCCTTTGCACCCATACTTGGTGTAAATCACCACTTCAATACAATCTTCTTTGGATTTGCACTCATATTTGTTGAGAAGGTAGAATTATTTGTTTGGGCATTTGAAAATTGGTTAGAAGCAATGGGTGGACAACAACCGGGCGTTATTCTCACTGATCAAGACCATGTAATTGCAGCCGCAGTGAGACAAGTTTTTGACAAGAGTGAGCATCATTACCGTAAGTGGCATATACTTTCGAAAGTTAAAGAAAAACAATGTATAGCTAGCCCAACAATCGAAGAATTTGAATTAGAATGGAAATTAATGATTGAAAAAATGAGTTGGATAGCAATGAATGGACACATAGGCTTTATGGTTGCCACATGCAATGGGTGGATGCATACTTGACTGGCAGGTTCACGCGGGTATGACTTCTACCCAAAGAAGTGAAGGGATGCATAAGAATTTCAAGACGTACTTGACGTCCAGAACTAGCTTACGTACATTAATTGAAATATGTGCAAAGGTTCAAGATAAAAAGGTACGAAAAGAAAAGAAAAACAATTTAAAAGACCTTGCAACTACTCCAATATTAAGAACTTCTTTATTTGAGTCGGCCAAAAAAATATATATTCAAAAGATTTTCAAGATATTTGCGGAAGAGGTTGCCAATTGTATGTATTTAATGAGTGAATTAGTTGATGAAAATGGACAGCTTCCCCTTTTAAGGTGGCAGATATGGGAACCAGATCTAGATCATACTTGGTGGAATTCAATGCTCATGAGAAGAAGGCTTCTTGCAATTGTCACTTATATGAAAGGATGGGCCTTCTTTGCTGGCATGTGTTGAAGATTTTTATGATGGAAAATATTTTTGAAATCCCTCCAGTATACATAATAAGGAATTGGTCAAAGGATGTAAAGAGGGGTTTCTGCATTACCACCCTCCATTCGATATGACAGTGTCTTGCAGACTGTTTGATCCCTCACTGAGCGTACGTCAGAAAGCATGGAGGTTCATGATTTTGTAATATTTTTAATATACGACGGTATTATAAAGGTTGATGGTAAATTCGGTTGTAAGTAACGTCCACAGGTTGACACCCATCAATGATGAGAGGGGTGCTTCTGGTTCTATTGACACACCAAATGGAAGTTACAACTGCCTTAAAAGTCCTTGATCTTCCACGAGCACGGGCAAAGGACGGCCGACAAATACAAGAAAAAAAGCTCGATCAAAGGGATGGAAGCCAATGGAAAATATTAGGAAATGTGCAATTTGTCGGGGCAGTGGGCATGACAGAAGAAATTGTCCATCATTCGTTCGTGAAAAGTACTAATCCATCCCTTTAGATTCATTTGAATTTTCATTGTATTAGTTGTTTTGCTTTTTCAATAATTAACTATTATGATCAAGGTTGGGCTCTCCATCTAGTTATTCTACATGTTTCCAAGAAACATATGTTTTTAAAGAAATATATGCTAGTAAGCCAACAGATCGTGTATGACTTGGTTTTCTATTCTTGAGATGCTTAAATGGTGGAATGGATTTCCTTTGAACGTTATCATACAAACTCTTAAAGTGCCATTGATATATAGCTAGTGATTTGTATTTTATGTTTTCCGAACTGATGTGTACATCAGTTAAGAATGTGAGCAGTAATTTTTTCTCTTCTTCAGGTCATTAATTATTTTCAATCAATGCAGATGGTTTTGGATCTTGTTGTTTCAGATGATAGAAGAAAAGGAGGGCAACCTAAGAAACTCACTCGATAAGGTATTCTCTCCTTTTTTAATTGTCATTGCAATTGCAAAGAATACAGAAAACCATTCAAATATTACAAAAACTGATATCAAAAGAAATAGGGAGGAACTATGATTATGCCACTATCTTAGAAATGTTTTACTGAAACTTGCATTGTTTTAAAACTTTTTAGATCTTAGATAGCACTTATGTTCTGAGTGACTAAAATGCATAGCTCTAGAAATGGCGTAAAATTGGCCATTTGATTGCAAGTTTATTTTGAGAAGACAAAAGAGATGGTTTTCAGTCTACGACGACCTCCTGACATGATGCAACAACAAGAAGACAATTTGCTTGTAAAGTCATTTGTAGATATGGGTTTTTGTTGTGCTGAGAGTCATTTGTACATCTGGGTTTTTGTTGTGCTCAGGTTGATATTTCAATCCCTATTATCACATTGAAGCAATTTTTTTTTTGGTCAGCTTATAGCATAAGATTTATTAATATTAAAGCCTTCTCAAACAGAAGTTTCAATATAATCCATTGGTTTGGATGACGATGTGAGACACAGAAAAAAAAGTGTCTTTTGGAATCTATTGTGTCGGTGTTTGTTCTTTTGCACGATATAGTAAAAAGGGAATCTTCTTCTGTCGACCTATTTCCACTAACTTGCTCCAATTTTTGTTGAATGCATAAGCCTCTCTCTCTCTTGCTATTTTGTAAACAACCAAATTGTAGTCCTTGGATGGGGCAGGTTCAATAGGAACCCTCAAAAGCAGGTTTCATATAGTGTTCATGTATTAAACTGAATCAGTTCTGTTAACAGGCATTGACTGTATTATCCGGGTTAATATCTTTTTTTTGGTTTAAATTAAGTCCAAAAAGCTGATGGATTTCGACGCTCTAGGTTTTGTTTTTTATTTTGGATCAACCCGCTTTCAATGAAGGTTTGATATTTAGAGGTGGAGAGACCTAAGGAGGTGTTCATTTCATTTTGCTATAGAGATATTGTCCCGAAATGGGAGAGAGAGAGAGATAGAGAGAAAGAGAGAGCTTACTGGTTCTAATTTATATCGGGAGTGGTTTGTATAAGGCCGAAGCCTAAATAATCAAAGCAAGTCGCACGATGAAATAGTAATGTAAGATTTAAGATTTAGAAGTCTTTGCGATGATTGAAACTATATTTTTATCTGTAATTGTAGAATTTATAACTTCAAAAATAGTACAAATCAATCAAATGATGTATAAACACTTGAAAATCGATTTGAGGATCTTCAGATTTTTCATTACAATTTACTTTTCAAATTTTTTGGCAAAATCTAGCAGCTGCACCTGGATTATAAATCATCTACGAGAGTTACAAAGTCTTATGAGCATGCTGATGTTTTACTTAATTGATTATAAATCCCTTTTCCAATAAACAGTAGGGAGCCATATTACATTTTCAACACAAAAGTCGAGTGTATCTGTCAAATTCCATCGGTAATTACAATCCTTTCAAAAAAAATATGATATAGACAAACAAAACAAAGCTCCTTGCTCTATCCTCAATCACTGATTGGCGATGTGAGGCATCAATTTGCCAATTCCAATTTCGTGAGGCCAGTAAACTTTAACATCAATTTACCAATTCCTTCTATTTCCACCCCTCTCAAATGGGTAACCATATGAATCTAATGACGATTGGGAACAATGGCTGCTACTACCTTTCTTTTGAAGATTATGTGTCTCCTCACTTTTGTCGTACTTTACATGCTGCAAGTAAAAGGCTCTCAAAATCAGCCCATTAATATGATTCATGAAATGACCCTAAAAGAATATTTGCTGGCTAAAAAAGAAATTCAATATTACAAGAATGATAACAAATGTGTTGCTTTACAAGTTCAAGATCATACTCTGAAATTAAAGTCACAAAGAACATTGGCACCGATTATTTTACATGATCAAAAGTGAAACATATTCAAAACGTTAAAAACCAAAATCCCCAAAATCCATTGGGACAATGGATGCAGACCAGAACCGATTCTTTTACATGATCAAAAGTGATGACACATCAGTAAAATAAAATTCCAAAGTGATATTGAAAAGAAACAGGAAAGTGAAAAAAAGAAGATGAGACGAATTCGAAAAACAAAAAACCCCCAAATTTGTGACATTTTCAAAATGTGAAAAACAAAATCCCCAAAATCGACAATGATTGCCATGACCGTAGCTTTACCCAGATGTGTAACATATTGAAAGGAAACAGGAAAGTGAAAGAGGAAAGAATTTTATTTTACTCTAGTTCATTTAACATATCAAAATGTGCTTACAATGGCACATGGATAATAAGCAACTGACATTTTACATATCACAATTTTCTTGCAACGAACAAGATGAATGTTAGAAGAGTGCACTAACAAAAATATCCATTGCTTTTTGAAGATCCCTCCTGATAAGTTGTTTGGCTGACAAAAAAAATCCAGAGGGATTAACTGTCTGGCTGATGCTCTAATGCATTCTAACACGTGCCACAAATTCAATGTACAAATTCTGTGTATGCTCAAACTTTCTTCTGTACAAATTCAATGACATTCAAAATTCTGTGTATCCAGATGAGATAGCCCTATCAGATCCCTAAGATGAGATCATCCTGAACTAGCAAAGAATAAACATTTGGAAATAGTGGCCTTAATTGTGATGGTGGAAGTCCCATCCATGCAATAATAGCCTATCTAGAAACCATGAAGAAATTAGAAAAAAAAAAAAGTAGCAATAAAAAAAAAAAATGCTGTGTAACACATTCAATGTCTGAAAATTCAAAATTCATATACACGATTTTCAATAATGCAAGCATCAAAAGTTAAAAAATAAAGATTTTCACATCTTCATTTACTACAAAATGATTCATGTTCAATATGGATGAAGGAGGTTAAAAAAAAACCAGCAAAAACAAAAAAAAAAAATAGTGCTTTGTGTAACACATTCAATGTCCGACAATCCAAAACGCCAAATGTTATAATGCAAGCATAAAAAGTTAAAAAATAAAGGAAGATTTTCCCACCTTCATTTACCGCAAAAAGATTCATGTTCAATATCGATGAAGGAGCTTAAAAAAAAAACAGCACTAAAAAAAAAAACAAATGCTCTGTGTAACATATTCAATGTCTAAAAATCCAAAACCCCATACGTTGGCTCATATACACAATTTTTGATAATGCATGCATCAAAAGTAAAAAAATAAAAGAAGATTTTCCCGTCTTCATTTACTGCAAAACGATTCATGTTCAATATGGATGAAGGAGCTTAAAAAAAAAACAGCAATAAAAATAAAAATAAAAAATAAAAAACAAATGCCTTACGTAACACATTTAATGTCTGAAAATTCAAAATCCCAAAAAATTGGCATTTCATATACAAGATTTCTGATAATGCAAGCATCAAAAGTTAAAAAATAAAGGAAGACTTTTCCATCTTCATTTACTACAAAATGTTCATGTTCAATATGGATGAAGGAGCTTAAAAAAAAAAAAAAAAAAAAAATAGCTCTATATAACATATTAAATGTCCGAAAATCCAAAACTCCAAAATGTTGGCATTTCAAATACACCAACTCACAGGCCGCTTGATCATTGTCAAAAGTGAGCGGATTTACAAAAACGCTAACAGAGAACTTGAAAAAACTCAGCAAGTTATATAAATTTTTCAAGTGAAGAAATTTTTTTACAAAATGTCTATAGTGTTACTCAAACCCATCTCGTCACGTAAATCATATCACAATCCTACCAAAATCAAAGACATTACTTATGTGACAAAATAACGTAGAAAAACTGTACGTAAGTGAAAACTTGGATGCATCGTCAAATTTTGATTTATAAAACTTATCCACTGAATAAGTAGAGTTGACTGAGGTAGATTCGACCTAAAATGAGTTTTATTCATTGGTCTTTTCCATACCTGAAATGGGTGAAAGCTCGAAATCCTCAACTGTTAGGAATCTGATCCGCAGTAGAGAGCGAGAGGGATTTTCAGTGCACACGAAAAAATATTTGGGGGTTTCAGGGTTTGTGTGCTTAGAGAGAGAGATAGAGAGAGGGAGTTTCAAGGTTTCAGCATTAGAGAGAGAGGCCTTTCAGCATTACAAGGGGGAGAGCGAGCATACTTAGAGAAAGAGCGAGGGAGAGAGACGCTTACAGGGGGGAGAGCGAGTGTGCTTAGACACTGGGTTTAAATTTCCCCCCACTCACTTTGGGCCGTCCGATTAGATGGGAAAAATCCTCACCATCTGCGCACAACAACCATAAACGCGACATCGCATACTACATCATTGCCCTCTATATATATATATATAGAGAGAGAGGAATTCTTCAAAAATTACTTGATACCGGACATTATACCGGACATTGAATTCTTACTCTAAGAGTTGGGATGTACTCCCTAAGTCAACTCCAAAGATAAATTCAAAGCCCTCATTCATCCTCACAAATGACTTGAAAAATTACCGCGCAAAGGATTTTAACTCAAGAGTTGGGATTTACTCCCTAATCAACTCAGAAGACAATAAGCCAAAGCCCATGTTCAAGTTTTAGCACCTCAGCTTAAGCAGCTATTTTGACTCACAAAATTTAGCCTAACCACCTTATCTTTCGTATTTATAACAGGTAGAAACACAATGTCATAGTCTCCTATGTATAATCTCCAATAAATATGCTATGGTAGGTCGTCCATAAGAAGCTGATTTTCCTGACCAAACTGACAATCCAAATTTGTTTTAATGAAAACTGGCAACTCAAAACTTCTTGCATTTGGGGTTCGATTTCAATTCACAAAACACAGAACCCGCTATTGCAGGAGTAGCAGCTCCAAGACATCAATCTTCAGAAACTTTGAGGGATGCAGCCTCCACAAATCCATTTTTCAAGGTTCCTTCCATCGCTTGGTTAACACCCCATGATGCATCATGAAGACGATTTACTTAACTTTTCATAATCGTGGACATTTTCCAAGCAGTTGTATGCGTGGATCTCACATGTTAGTCATATGCAATTAGCAGTTCATGGAATTTGGATGTCTTAACTGCACAATTAAGCTTGTCATGCCTCTGAAAGTCGGAGACGAGGGACGATATTCATTGCTTGCAATTCCTGGAAGTTCCAACATAGAAAATTCAGGAATTGAATTTTGGCATAAATATTTTTTTTTGATAATGTTAACCTAATTTTGGTATAAATACTTGAGAAGATAGGAGCCAAAGAAAGAATATAAGTCTATACCAACACACCCACCCACCCACAGACACAAACACACATTAATATATGGGTAGAATTCCTACTACAGATTAGACTGCCCAGGAGAACCAAGAAGGGAAACACAAACATTAGAAAAAGGACTGGACTTAGTACCAATTTCCCAATTATGTTATTCGGTATTTCCCAAGGAATACCACAGGAAATGTTGTCTATAACTAAGCATGATTTGATTAAAATTCAGAAATTATTTCTGCCTATCCAACATCATAGAATGCATCAACATGAAGGGAGAGTATATTACAATACAAGGGACTATGGAAAAAACATTGGCCTTTGGGTCATCATCATCCAATGAAATGTGTAGCAGGAAGTGGTTGGAATTATGTAGTTCAATTGGATTATAAGCTATTTAAGATAATAGTGTACTATTTCTATATTGGAAGGGGTGGGACGAACCTGGATTAGAAGCTTGCATGCATAAGGTAGTGTCAAAGTAGAGACATTATCTCCGTTCTTGCATGATGTACACCAGGCCATTTTCAATGTATGATGGTAATATCCCAACAAACCACATTTTGTGCAAACCTGTGAAAAAATAAAGCTGGAGACCATCAACCTGCATTCACCTTAGCTATAAACAGACACAATTTACATCTTCGCATAATTACAAGGGATGCCTTTGCATAGTTTTAAAATCAGAGATTGGTGAATGCAAAAGCAGAAAACATTTAATACTAGTAACATAATGAAGATTACTTCAAAACAAAAAGATGCAGCAGAATGTTTGCTTTAATTATATATTTTACACTGTACCACAAAATTTACTCTAAGCCCTTCATAAAAGACTAACAGACCCCTTTAACTGAGTTTCCCTACCAAGGCTGCCTCCAGTTACAGAGCCACCAGGCCCTACGAAACAATACAGATGATATACAAGAAAGACTACCTCCATGGGTTGGAAGCTCCCAAACTCTCAATGTTGAATTTCGAAGCCATTATTTTGAAAATCCCAGAAGTTCCCCTAGCCGTAAAAAACGACTTCAAGAGATCTAACAGAATATATGGAACTTCATAGCAGTAATCTTATAAATAACATAAACAAAATAAGCTTGTCAAAGTGTTGGCATATATTTTTTTGAGAATGTTAACATTGTATTGAAGGATGAGAAAGTACAAAGGTTGCCCCGTAGGGTATGTCACCCAGAGAGGTAACTAAGACAAAACAGGAACACCCCACGCTCCAAAAAATATAAATAAGGCCCACTTAGAAGAGATACAATATAGCGAAGAGACCCAAACAAGAGCAAAAGAGGATCCCAATGTGAATCTCCAAGTCTGCGCTGCTCCCTGTCTGGCTAGGTCGTCAGCTATCTGGTTTCCCTCCTGCCAAATATGTGTCCAGGATATCTGCATATACCCACGCAGATCATGGTTTTCATAAAAAATATGCCATAGTCTTCAAGGAGGTTGAGTTATGAGGTATGCAAGATGCCCATTGAATGACGTTTTAGGAGTCCCCTTCGGCCACTAAGGAAGCTCCCCATTCCGGGTCGAATAGTCTCAAGCCTTGTAGTAGAGCTCCGGCTTCAGCCTCTATGGAGTCAGCTTTTCCTATGGAGGAGTAGGAAAGAAGTGTTATTCCTTCATGGTTGCAGAATAAACCTCCTATGCTGGCCAGGACCGGGTTCTCGAAAGAGGACCCATCGAAGTTTAGTATGATAGTTCCCCTTTTAGAAGGCCTCCAAGAGGCAGACCTCCGGATTCTTTTTTGTGTAAAGGAGAGGACATGGCTCCAATTGAGGTGAATGTCGCGAGCGGGCACGCCTTAAAGAGCTTATGATTAATAGCCCAGAAAATCACCATTCCCAGGATAGTGTCGAATAGTTTATGTACTGGTGCTACTAGGCCTTGGAATATCCTGTTACGTTCCTTCCATATTGTTCGCGGCAACCGTTGCCTTCCTAAGCAGGGTGCCGGCTTTGGCCCACAGGAGGAAGGAGGAGAGTTTGAAGAGGTTTGGGACAGACTCAAGGGTGACCCATACCCAACTGAAGAGAAGGAGAGAGTCTTCGAGAGTTTAGAAGGTTACGAGGTCGTGCTTTTCCTTTGTGTTGAATTGAAGCAAAGGGGAGGACTTCAATACTAGACGAGGAAAGCAAGATTGGGAGTAGATAAGGATTCAGATAAAGGGAGGGAGCTTAGCGACCGGGGAATTGAAAAAACGACTACTTTCTTGCTTGATTTAAGGTAGGGAGTTAAGTTTCGAAATAAGAGGGTTATTCCTCGAGAAGTAGAAAAAATTATAACCCCCATTCCACCTGAAATCCGAGGAATTCGTTAGTAGTTGGAATAGATTCGTAGACCGGTTCCTTACCTCGGGACCAACTTGGTTACTGGGCAGTCGCAATCGTGACCGGCGTGCCTGAGGCTATCCCTGTAATAGGATCGCCCTTGGTAGAGTTATTATGTAGAAGTGCTAGTGTGGGCCAATCTACCTTGACCCGTTACACACTTTTGTATTACCTCTTCCTAACTGCCATATAAATTGACGAATTAACAAGAACCTAACCTGCTTTTCTTGGTCAACCACCGAGAACCGCTCTATATATTCTACATAAATAACTCAAGTCTTTCTAGTAGAAAGGAAAGACCACTAGAAAACAAACAAAAAACTAACTCAGGAAAAAAATGCTAAAAAAGGCAATGTCTTGGTCGAAGGGTCTCTATCTGCTGTAGATCAATGGGCTATTGTTCAATGGCCACATTCCTGATGCAAGATGGTTTATCGTGTAATTAACTGGGACCAACCACTTCCATTGCTGAATCAACAAAGCCAACTAGCCTAGACACTGGCTCAAATGCCCCTACCTTTGCTGTTGGTGCTTTGCTTTTGTCGACGGTGCTCTCGTTGCTCCCTCCGCTGCGGATAGTTCGACTTGGTAAATTGGATGACACCAAAAGATGCAGTCAATACAGCTAGAACAACACCCGTTATCCAAGTTAATTCGTGAGGTTTCTTAAATTCGTCTATGAGATACGTGCATGATCATCATTAGAATCATCATACTTGCCGACCATTGACGACCAAAAGGATTGGATTGACTAAGTTGACCTAGTAGCCAATGTTACAGTTTCTATTGCTTAGTCAACATCTAATCAAGACACAGAGCAAGGAAACGTTTCAATCGAGTGATAGTTCTAGTCCCAGTTGGAGAAACAGATAGTCCAAGCATAGTTCCTATTGTCAGTTCCAATCCCATTTCCAGTCCCGAATCTTGTTCGCGCTATGATAGTGGATCTAACAGGGCTTGGTGCAAGGTTATGTAGGAATATGGGTAAGCATATGTAGCATAGGGGTAAAAATGAGTAGTCGTTGATCGTACGAGCGATAGGGAAGCCGACATCCCGACCAGCAGCGGAACTAGTCGGAGGCGTAAGAGAGGCATTCAAAGGCACATATTTTTAAATTGAGACTGACCTTTACAAGAGAGTGAGCTATACAACACTTGAGCTTGAGCTTGCTTGAGACTGAGATTGAGACTGAGCTAGCTGGCATGCTTGAAAGAGTAAGGGCAGAAAGAGAGATTTTCTGATCTACTGCTTGAGTTTGTGATAAACAAAAACTGAACAGCTGGCATGATGACCTGGAGCTTGAGACTGAGACTGAGCTTGAGCCTTGATCAGGAGTAGGGGTTACGGGGAAAGGAGAGCGATGGGGTAGTGGATTATGAGGTGAACGATAGTTACCTCAGCAGAGCAGCAAATTACACATTTATTGGGGGTTTGAAGGCCATGTCATTGTAACTGATCTACGATGAGGATTCTAGCCCAAAAGGCCAGCCAGTTAAAGAACTAGATTCTAGGAGGGATGAAGGGGTTCCAGGCCCTAGAAACAAGAGGGTAGCTATGGTGGTGCCCGAGGGGTCGGGTTGCGCTAGGTTAAGGAACCGAAACTGAGAAGAGACAGAGATGGAGCCAGAAGGGTCTAGAGATCAGGTGATTTTGTCAGCCCCCGAGAGAGGTAGATGGGAAAAGGAAAAGTGAAGAAATAATAAGAACTTTGCAAGCTCCCCATCTCTAAGGGGTCTATGAAGGTCAGGGTTCCAAGATCTGAAAGAGCCCGAGGCTGGAAAGAGGTCCTCGATCGAGGCCCGAGGGTCATGGGCCAGCTAAAAAAGGGATGGGAAGTGGGTAGCTAGAGGGGATTCGCGTATCCAAGTATTGAGCCAAAAGCAAACATTGGTCCCTCCTTTGAGAAAGAACCTCCTTTGAGAAAGAACCTGATGTGGGCAAGAAAAAGCTTGAGAGAGTGTGAAATAGACCTCTAGAATCTCGAGGCAAGACTACGTTGGGCTTGGGGAACGGACCAGGGTGAGGCTACAAGAGAATGCTTGGCTTCGAGGATGATGTGGCAGAGGTTATTAGGCTGAGTGGTGAGTCTCCACCACCATTTGCATAGAGTGCCAAGTTTTGGGATTTGAGGCTTCGAATCCCCAGACTTCCTTTGTATCTCTGAAGGAAGGTTAAATTTCAAGCAATAAGGTGGAATTTCTTAATGGAGCTGTCTCCCGACAACAAAAAGTTCCCCATGAGTTGCTCCAATCGGTTACGCATAGCTGCAGGAATATGGAAAAGAGGCATCCGACAGATGGGTACTATCGAGAGCTCTACTTTAATGAATGTGAATCTATCTGCTGGTGAAAGAAAACACCCTTTCCAAAAGGCTAGCTTCCTTTCCACCCTATCGATGATATGGCTCCATTGAGCCTTCTTGGGTTTCATGTAACATAGCGGCAGACATAGGTAGGTGGCCCGTAGGGAATTGAGTCCACAACCCAAAATAGAGGCAAAGGGGGCGGGGTTGGTAAGGAAACCTATTATCTTGGTCTTTTGAAGTTTGACCTTAAAACCTGTCGCAAAGTGAAAAGGAAGGTGAGAAGATTGTGAACCTAGTGGGGCTCAAGTTCGCATGATAGAAGGGTGTTGTCAGCATATTGTAAGTGTGACACCCAAGGGCCCTCCCTTCCTACCTGAAAACCTTTGGCCAATCCCACCTGATAGAGTCTGGCCGTCGTCCTACTAAAAACCTCTACAGCTATAGCAAAAAGAAAGAGGGAGACGAGGTCTCCTTGATGCAGACCTCTTTCAGATTGAAAGAATCCTTTGGGGGAACCAGTGATGAGAAATGAAAAGAAGGGGCCACGAATACATCCCCTGATCCATTTCCTCCATCGTCCCCCAAAGCCCATTCTTCTTTTGATTTCTTCTAGGACGTCCCAGTCGACATGGTCATAAGCCTTTTCTCAGTCTAATTTGACAATCAAATTGAGGGTTTTGGAAGACGTCCTCATGTGTATGCATTCGTGGATCACCAGGGCTCTAGCGAGGATCTGCCTATCTTTAATGAGAGGGGGTTGTGAACATGTGAGTGGGGTACTGAATGATAGTGTTCTCGATAGCTAAAGGTTCCTCAAGGGTCGCCCCAAGATTCGATGCGCATGATAGCATTTCTCCTCCTGCAGTTGTCGATTTTATGAAAGTAGGCTGTGTTGAGGTCTCCTCATTGGAGCCATTTGACCCTGGATCTTTGTGCCCATAAGATCTCTTCCTTCCTAAGCTAGGATTCTAGATCGCTCTAGGCAAAAAAGCGGAGGACAGCTTCTTGAAAAGACAGGGACCGAGTGTCATCTAGCTGATCAAACTCATGGAGGAAACCCAAGAGTGTGGTTTCGAGATCTCGAAAATTGCCAGGAAGGAGAGAGCGCTAAGCTTTGAGAGACCCTTTGAGATGAGAAAGTTTATTCTGTAGTTTGAAGCCTACCAATCCAAGGGCTAGGGGAGAGGATGAGGCCCACCAGGATTTCAGCTCTTCATCGAAATTGGGTTCCTCAATCCAATAGATTTCAAAGCGAAAAGGTTTCGGGCCCCTGTGAATCGGATAAGTGTCCAACAAGATGGGTTTGTGGTCAGACATCGTTCTAAGTAAGGAGGATGAGGAGGTGCCAGGAGATGTGTCCTCCCACTGCAAAGAACAGAGGAACTGATCAATTTGAATCAAGAAACAGAGTTAGACCATGTGAACTCAGACCCTAACAATGGTATACCCACCAGCTCATGTTTGACAATGAAGTCAGCAAAGGCTAGCATCGCCAGAGTAATGACTGTGGAGGAGTTGCTTTCGTGGGACCACCTTGTGACATTAAAGTCTCCCCCGATCCCCCAGCATGTAGAATGAGGTCTAATTCTTGCCACATGATCGATTAGTTGGAGCTAGAGTTCAGACCATAGACTGCTGAGAACTTCCAACAGAGACCGTCCGAGATGCAGTAGAGAGACATCGTCACCGACCGCATTGCAATCCAGGAATTCTCGATCCCAAAGGTGGATGGGTCCCAGATCACCCAGACGCCACTGAACGCACCCACTTCGTCTCAGGCTACCCATTGGCAGGGTCTGTGACCCCGGACCTAGAGAACCTGTATTAGGGCTGGGGAGGAAGATTTGGTTTAAATAAGGGCCAAGAGTCCGGGAGAATGCTGTATGCAGAAGTCATGAACTGCCCGGATCTTGCGAGGGCATTTGAGACCCCTAATGTTCCACATCGCGATCTTCATAATCTTGGTAAAGAGAAAGATCTCCTAGACCAGAGTCTGGAGGTGGTAGAAGAATCAAGGTTTGCTGCCAGCGAGCAAGGCCGAGAAGAACTAGGCCGGTCGTAATTTATGTTACATGCAAGTTTGGCCAGTTCCTTAGAGCTTATGTTACTCACTTTGAATTTAGAATGAGCATCTAATTTGAAGAAAGCCCTGATGTCCTCCTTAGAACCATTGAACTTGAATTCAATCACTCCTATCACCTTGTCAATGCTACCTTGGGCCTTATCCATCCTGGAGCAGAAGACCCCACCGAAATAGGTGGAGAGGGACGACAAAAGGAGCTGCTAAAGTTCAAAGGAGAAAGGGCCCAGATGTTGGAATACCCCGAGGGGAAGAGAGGTGGCAAGGAGGGGTTGGGGCAAGAGAGGGTGGATGAGTCGGAGAAGACTCTGGAACAGGGGGTGGAGCAACAAGGGAAGGAAGAGAAGCCAAGGGAGCAATCGAATAGGCTGAAAGAGGAGTGGAGGAAGAGGGAGATCTAGGGAGGGAAGCCGAGGGAGCGGATGAACAAGGAAGGTTAGAGGGGGAAGGACTAGGCACGAGAGGAGGCGGGTTGAAAAAATTAAGTAGAGCAAGGTATGTCTCAACAGGCTGTAGTCCCAAAAGGAGAGGGTGGGGGGAAACCAAGCAAGAGGGTTGGAATGAAGCGGGGTCAGGGAGGATGAGAAAGAGTGCACTACGGCCATAACATGGGCTGAGAAGGTTAGGGGGTGAGGTGAGCAAGAGAAAAGAAGCACCAAAGGAGGGAGCCAGAGGAAGGGTGGCTGAGGTAAAGGGCCCATAGGGGTTCTCAAAAGGGGAGGGAGGGGGGAGGGGGAGGGTCGTTGAAGGGGATGGGCTAAAGAAATCGCTGTCCTCCCGAAGCGGGGTCGGCTTCGATGGGGCATAGAGGAAGGGGAAGAAGGAGATAGACTCTCAGAGGTAACAAAAGGAGGGAGGGGAGAGCTTGGACAGCATAGGGGACAGCTCCTGGTCAAGCAAGAGAGAAGGCCGAGATGGTAATGGAGACAGGCGGAGAGGGGAGAGGAAGTCATAATGAGGTGAAGGGGGAACAAGAACATGACAAGAGAGAATGGCGGCAGAAGGAGGAGCGAAGACAAGACAAGATGGGGAAGGAGCGAGAGGGGAAAGCGACGGTATATCCAAGGGAAGGGGAAGATAAGAAGGGGGCAAAGGAGAAGCCGGTCAGGCTCAAGTTCACTGTCAACGTCCACAAGGAGATCCGATTAGCAGAGCAAAGGGCCTGAAGAACGTTTCAATTGCCCTGTCAGTGGAGGGGGTTCAATAAAAGCTAGCAAGAGTGAGAGGGCAGGTGAGGGGACAATCGAGGAAGAAGGGGTGCAAGCCAAGGTAGAAAGCGGAAGAAGAGTAGGGGTAATGAGTAGGGGCGAAATGGGGGCAGCCTCGGAAAGAGAGAATACGGCGGTGGGCTCCACGGAGCTCGACGAGGATGGCATTGCAGTAGATGGCTGCAGCACGGGGAGATCTTGGGAAAGACCACTCTCAGGGAGAGAGTTGGATAGGATGTCAGGGGACGAAGAGATCAACGGTGGAGAAGAGGGGCAAGAAACAGAGGCAAAAAGGTCACTGACGTCATCCCTCGACATGTGTACCAAAGGGGATGGCACTCTCGGGGCATAGAGACAACGTAGTAGGGGGAGCATGAGGGGTCGCTTTGAGAGCCGAAGGGCAGGAATCCGGCCCGGAGCTCGTCCCGCAGATCGACGCCCATTGGTGGGTGCGGATGGAGGAGAACGACTGGGTCGGTGAGGCCGGTTGTGAGAAGGGAATGGGTGGGGGGTCTGCTTGAACTTCCGCTTAACAGTAGTCCACTTCTCCGGAGATGAGGGTGGAAGAGAGGTAGAGGCCAATGTATTAGAGGAGGCAAGATTCCAGGTCAAGTGGAGGCAATAGAAAACTCTAGCTAAGCAACAACACAAAAGCTTAGAGAGGTTGGACAAGTCAAAAACCTCAACCAGAACAAGAACAGATCCCAGGGGGAGATATTCCCCCGCTTTCCAGGTAACAGCTACCAGTTTCCCACACTTAGCACCTATGGAGGAGAAGGTTGTGGGATGCCAAGCATGCAGGAATGTTATCAACCCAGAGCCAATACTTGAAGCAGATGGAAGCGTTGACTTGGGGTGACCACTGCTTCAAGGAAAGAGAGTCCCCTTTGAAGGAAAAGAGGAGAAGGTTTCTTGAAGTGGAGCCTTGAGTGCTCCAACAGCTCCAGGTAGGGAGGAAAAGAGAGAACCACTTGCAATGAAGGTCAGGATCTTTCCAGCATGTTTGTGCCCATTCTCAATGCCCCGGATGTCATCACGATAGGCGTGGAAGGCACCAACTAGAGCATGCTAGGGGCAAATGGGCAAGTTTGAAGCTGGGATGCGACTCAAAGGGAGGAAGCAACTCTAATCAAGGCCAAAAAGGGTCCGAGACTAAAAGGTGGGGGGAGGGAGACTAAAAGGTACAAGAGGACAAGCAAGAGAGGGGGCCTTGGGAGGCAGCTGAGGGTTTAAGAGGTGAGCATAGTTGCGATAGATAGGTGGGGGGCCAATGGGAGGAGGGTTCGAGGAGAAAGCTGGAAACTTACCTTTATCACGTGAAGAAGCCGGGGTTACTCCATAGGCCAAAGAGGTTGTTGGGCGAGAACGAGGAAGACGAGAAGGAGGGGCAGACGAGCAAGAGTGGGAAGGACGAGTAGAGGAGGCAATCGAGCTTGAGCAGGGAGGCGAGAAAAGGAAACGAAAACCATAGTGATCTCATACACCACCGATTAGTGTTGGTCTATATTTTATAAAATACATTCTATGGACAAGTCACTGATTTAGAACAATACTGGGGTTTCCAAGAAATAACACATTTTCATCATTTTGCAAAAAAACATTTGAAAAATAGCATACTCAGAAATAAGAACATGTTTTATTTCATATCAGACATTATCACATATTTCAAAGGCTCAGACTTTTCCAAAGCTCATACTTGTCTTGGGAATTAGCGGATCTTTGTGGCAAGGTGACTTATGACCGATGAACCTCGATGTTTTTTTTTCTCTTCACAGTTTTACTAGCAAAGAGGCCAATCCATGCTGATTTGGGCATTCTTAAGCCCTTGGCAAGGTTTAAAACCTTGGGAACAACAAACTGCTAATTGATTCTTCATTTAGAGAAAAGCCTTTTTGAGTAGGCAAGTTGAAATAATGCAGATGGAATTTCGCAGCTCATGCAGCAATTCAAATTGCCCATCTACCAGAAAAGAGAACCAATTAAAAACTCAATTATTCTAGATCAACAGGCATTTCAACTTTGACATAGAAACAACCAAACAAAAACAGTTTCTATCCAATGTACAAGAGGATATTCTGTCTTCAGGTAGTTCAGTAGTAGGAACTGAACTTGGGACATAGTGTTGTAGTTGTCAACAACTAACCAAACAAGTCCAAACCAAATTCCTGTACAACAGAAAATTATAGCTGAAGACAGAAGGTAATATATGATCTCTAGGCTGCAGAAAAAAGGCATGGTATTGTCTAAGTGTTCATACTATTACAGGATAATCACCAAGTAGTCATACCTGAACCTGAAACTTATCACTGGAGATCATCAAGCGTTCTAGGATCATATTACTTGCACCGTAAGCTATCAAACAGTCACGCTCCATTTCCCCTAACCTTAGTCCTGGCAAAATAAAGAATCAAACAACTCAATCACTAAGAACTGATCACTGGTGAGATATCTTGTATGTTTTCACATAAGGAAGATGTAAGTATGCAATAATTCTAATGACCTCCATCCCGAGCCCGTCCTTCGGTTGGTTGTCTAGTGAGCAACACCTTAGGCCCGCTAGGCCGAGCATGCATCTTATCTAGGACCTATGTAAGCACAGGGAAACATTCCAAATTGAGAAGAATCTGATCAGTGTAATGCCAATCATAAGTCGTATGCTTGTAAGCTTTGTGAATAACTAAAGAGAACAAAGAGAGTCTAATCAAGGTAGCAATTACAACAATAAGGAGGCTACATTTAATAAAGAGATGGCAGTCTCATATTTGTCGCACAATTGGACAATTTTGCATTTCTGATAAGCCTCTTGTAAGTGGAATTTTGTCTAAAAAACCGCTATCTCAGCCACATTACAAGAGAATAGCGACTTCAGAATGTGGGAGAACAAATATTTCTCTAATATTGAGCCAGAACATTTTTTGTCTCATCAATAAATTGATCATGAATTGTATCGTCTGAAATCTTCTCCAAAGGAAAGTTCATGAAACTTTTAGTTGCCTGATACCATCAATGAAATCATGTAAATTAATCACCATCATCATCATCATCATCCGAGCTTTATTTCAATTATTTGGGATCGGCATGTAAATTAATCACCAAGCTTTATTAAATTGAAACCATTGTGGAAAACATTCAAGATACGCAAAACAATTCTAAAAGGGTCAAGCACTAGTACAAGATCCATAAACCAACTGTCCACTTGTTACAGAAAAAAATTGCCACTACACTTCAAACACAGGAAGTAAGCATATTAACAAAAAGTATATCAACAAGGTTCATCAAACTGATAGAGCAACATGTTATGACTGAGGCACTATTAAGGGAAATTGAGCATTCCGCAAAAAGTGAAATCCTTGATCAGATTAGGAAGATATACAGCAAAGGAGTCCATGTAGGGTCTGTTTATCAAAACAAATGCCACCAGCCCATAAGTCTGCAACTTCTGCAAAATCTCTGATAAGAAACAAGATGCCTCAAAGGAAAATGGACCTCATAAAGTACCCCAAATAAAGAAAACCTAAATGTCAAATGACTAAAAGGAGAAGAAAACAATACTGAAACCAAAACTCAATACATAGGTAAGATCTGATCCCACTAATGGTCAAACCTTCATTAGAAGAAATGCCAAGACAGATCTAGGCAGAGAGAGAAGAATTCACAGTCGGATATCTAGGAATCGCAAGGGAATACCAATTCCAAGAATGACAATGCAATGCCAATATGTAGTTGCATGACTATGGCTCATGCCAAAGATGCAATCGTGGAAGGAACATGCTCAAGGCAGCCAACTGTATGTTCCTATTCTTGAGGGAGGGAGGAGGGTGAGGAGTTCTTGTCTCCCTGGGGGGGGGAGAGCAAGAGTATTGTAGATATAATGACTTCCCATGAGGAAATGGAAATTACCCCCAAAAATCCATGTTATAAGTCTCCCATTAGAAGTATGCCAGCTTTGCATGAGTAGAATATATCATGAGGAACAGAAGAATTAAATGAATATTTTTTGAATTATAATCCTAAGGCCCAACATATATATGTAAGATTTTGATCCTGCGGTGTAGAGGACACTACGACTGCAAACAAACAAACATAATAAAGTAATACATGCATAATCAGCTAATAGTCTGGGTTAAAATCCAAAACTGAATCCTCGAAGTATAAGTGAAAATCCAGAGCCCAATGAAGTTCAGGTTAAGTTCCCGAAACCACATAGAGGTTGAACTAGGTTATTTGCCATATGTCAAAAGCATTTTAAGTATAAATCAAATTTAAGTATATTAGAAAACTCTTGAAATATGTGAATGAAACTCAATTGCATATATGGAAATTACATTAACTGTAAAGGTAATAATGCTCATTTAAACAAAACCACTGCTAATGCTCATTTAAACAAAAGTGCTGCATACATACCATGTGTTTCAGTTTCTGGTAATAAATTGGCCCCATAAATATATATGCTTGCAACGGATACCCAGTTATGCCTGACAAATTAAACATTATAGGTTACATACTAGTATATATAGAGGAAATTCAACAATAGCATGAAGGCAACAGATAAAAACGAAAGGCAAGAACCTGAATAGATCATATCTTTCCCACTATAACTAAATCCATGCCTGACAAGGATCTCACTGCCAGAGAGCACAAAAATATAATAAATATGGCAAGGAATACAAAAGTTGTTACAGAAAATATTATGATATCTGAGCAGGATACAGCACCTTATAGCTTCGACTCTATCTGCATGACCACTTGGTTCTCCAAATGCACTACCATAATGAAATCTACCACATGAAACCCCTGCTTTACTTCCAAGTAGCTCTATCATCTTCCCTATTGTCATTCGACTAACCCACACAAAAGAAATTTTAGTCCAGCATACAAACTTAAGAATAAAGAGTCAGATGTTTCTAGCCCATCTTTATTGCCTCAAGCTAATGGGCTCTACATTGCAGCATATAGAATATCATTTATCTGCATGAAGAATATCATTTATCTGGCTCTTTTTTCATGCTCTTTTTTTTTTTTTAAATACTACGTCAGCCTAGAATATCATGTGTCTGATTCAAATTACTGATTTTTTTTGTTTTTTTACCTGCACTTGAATATTCACCTGTCTTTTGTTCTTATTCTTCACAAATTCTTTCTAAAATAGTTCATAATTCCTCCATCTAACCATTTTCATAGGTCGTTGTAATTTATGTTACCTATGATTTTATAAGCTTGTTCTTTTTGCTTTTAGGAATACCACACTCTAGACATGATCAAGGGGAAAAAACATTTTGAAGATATATTTTTTAAAACTCCTTTATTTTTATATTCTTCTATGTTTATATAATTTCTTGCTTTTGTCCTTTTCATGACCTGATTAGTCAACCCAAATGGGTCATGTTCAATTCGACCTAGGAATCATCCCGAGTTGGATTTTAGGCTTGTACATTGTGATTCATTGTTAATTTCTCCTCTTTGTGAGAAAAGTTTAACCAATTACCGTCCTGTACATTTTTTTTTGATGTTACAGCTAACACTTATTTCTATTTTTTTCAATAAAATCCAATCCATGGTTCAATCTCTCAAAACTTCAATTAGCTTAACTAGCATTGCTTGTATTCTTGCTGAAGTCCACCACAAACCACATAGAAGTTGAATGCTACTTTGTCTTCCATCCCATGCCTCTTCGAATCTTCAGATCTTCAATTTCGCTTATTTTTAAAGCGACAAAAACAAGAGTATGTGATGGTCTAAGAAGGGTGAGGACATTAAACTTTCCTTTAACTCGTCGCGGGCCTGGGTAAAGGAGGTGGATTGTGTAAAGTTTATGAGGACATTACACTTTCCTTTAACCAATGTAAAACTTTGCAAAAAATTTTCATGAATCCTGAATCTACACTATTTGCTTATACTAGGGCATTACCCATAAGCAACACGATGTACGGGAACCTGGGTACAGTAAGAAACGAGCAAGAGCTAGTTATAGGGCGTTCCCCAGAGACGATGCGCCGCAATGCCGCCCGTTGCGGTGAAAAATAGGCAAGGATTCCTGCGACATGCTGGATGCGCATAAGTAAAAGAAGCTGGTCTAGGAGAATAAGATTCGTTTAGCCACATGGAATAGAGCGCTTATAGGTAAGAGTATGGAGTTAGTGGATACAATGAAATGAAGGAAAGTAAACATAGCTTGTCTATAGGAAACTAAGTGGAAAGAAGAAAAAGCTAAGAAAATAGATGGGTATAAACTTTGATACATAGAAAAGAATAATAATAAAAATGGTATAGCTATAATAATAGACAAAGATTTAAAAGATAAAATAGTTAATGTCATGACAATAGAGTAGGTGATACTCTTATTAATAGAACTTGTATTAGGGGAAGAGATAATTGATGCAATTAATGCTTATTCAACACAAATAGGACTACGTGGAAAGAGGAAAAAGCTAAGAAAATAGATGGGTTTAAACTTTGCTATATAGAAAAGAATAATAATAAAAATGGCATAGGTATAATAGTAGACAAAGATTTAAAAGATAAAATAGTTAATGTTATGTCAAGAGAGTAGGTGATAGACTCTTATTAATTGTACTTGTATTAGGGGAAGAGATAATTGATGTAATTAGTGCTTATTCACCACAAATAAGACTGAGTATAAAATTAAGAGAGAATTTTGGGAGGACATGGATAGACTAGTCTAAGCCGTACTAAATGGAGTGAGGACCTTTTTAGCAGGTAATGGTGGAGTCATCAGCAACAGAAAGGGTGGTTTCATTGCTGCTTTTGCAAAGCATTTTGGTTTTGCTTCTAATAACCATGCAGACTTCTTGGCACTTGAAGAAGGAGTTCAATTGGTTCATTAAAGGAATTGCTTTCCAATACAAATAGAAAGAAATTCAGCCCTACTTGTAGATGTCATTCATAATCGATGTCGTGCCCCATGGCGGATAAAGACGATTGCAAATACTTGCCGTACCAGATTTTTTTCTCATCGATGGTCCATTGCACATATTTTTTGGGAGGCAAGCATGGTTGCCAATGCCCTTGCTACGAGGGCATTTGCTGGCCTCGGTGCTACTGTGTGACACCATACACCACAAGATTTTCTTTCCTCTATTTTATTACATGATCCGATACAACTGTCCTACTATAGGGTTGTACGTTAATTGTTTTTCTTTTCTCATTTATTAATGAAAAAACGGGTATATGGCCTTCTCACCCACTGACTTACCCAGAATAAAAAAAAATTAAATAGTCACGTAGTAAAGGATATGAAGGGGTACATGGGGGATATAGGTTTGTTGAAAGAAATGAGATGAGTGAGGCTATTCTAGTTTTTGCTATGGCCTACGACTTAGTAATAGTAAACACTTATTTCAAAAAGTGAGATAAGCATTTAATTACATATAAAAGTGGATCACATAAAACCGGATAGACTTCTTTCCAGTTAAGAAGGTAAATCGATCATCATGTAAAGACTGTAAGGTTATTCGAAGAGAGAGTTTAACTACCCATAATAGGCTCGTGGTTATGGAGTAAAAAATGAGCAGGTTATAAAACATGACAATGTAATCGATATGATCAAAACTTAAAAAGATATAAAAATGCTAAGAAAAACACTAAACAAAGACTAAGTAAGGCTAACAACTTTAAGGCATAGGATAATCTATACAGTAAACTGGAAACAAGAAAAGGTAAAAAAGATATCATCAAATTAGCATAAATGAGAGAGAAAAAGTACAGGGATTTAGACCATATTAAATGCATTAAGAGTGAGAATCAAAGTGTTTTGGTGAAGGATGAAGAGGTCAACAAAAGGCGAAGAGTTCATTTCAAAACTTATTAAGCGACGAATACAGTGGAAACACAATAGTAGAAGGACCTGTTGGCACACTTGAGGGTGGAGGTCGAATATCAAAGGTGACAGAAGTCTAGAAGAGGATGAAGATAGGAAAGGCTATAGGACCAGATGGTATCCGTTAGAGATTTAGAAGTGCATGGGGGACATTGGCGTTGACTAGCTCACCAAGTTATTCAACAAAGTGTTGAGAACAAAAAAAATGCTAGACAAATAGAGGAAAAGCAATGTGGAACTTATTTACAAGAACAAATGAGACGTACAGAGTTGTGCAATCTATTGAGGGATCAAACTTATGAGCCACACTATAAAGTTGTGGGAGAGAGTGATCGAGCATGACACAGATGTATCAGAAAACCAATTCGATTTTATGCCAGGGATGTCAACAATTGAGGCTAGTTTCCTACTTAAGCAACTTATTAAGAAGTTTAGGGTGAAGGAAAATGACCTCTACAAGGTCTTTATTGATCTAGAAAAAGCTTATGATAGAGTACCTCGAGGTTTATTTTGTGGATTTTAGAAAAGGAGTATCAAGATACGATATCAACTTAGTGAGAGATATATACGAGGGAGCGCTAACTAGTGTACGGATAACTCGGGAGAGGCGAGTGAATTTTCAGTGACAATAAATATACATTAGGGGTTAGCTTGAGCCCATACCTCTTTGTCTTAGTTATGGACGACTTAACTAGACACCTACAAGAAGAGGTACGTAATGTATGTTGTCTGCAGACAACATAGTTTTGATTGAGACCCGCAGTAGCGTCGACACAAAGATAAAACTTTGGAGGGATGCTCTAGATCTAAAGGTTTTAAAATTAGCCGGATGAAGATAAAGTGTATAGAATGCAAGTTTAGTAATAATAGGAGCCTAGACGAGAAAGCAGTTTAGTTTGACGACTAAGAAATACCAAACAAGAGAGCAATTTTGATATCTTGGGTCGATAATCCAGGAAAATAGAGACATTGAGTAAGATGTCGCATATAGAATTAGAACTGAGTGGGCAAAGCAGAGATATAAAATTAGAGTTTTATGTGATCACCGTAGACCAATGACGCTAAGGGGAAGTTCTACAGAACAACTGTGAGACCAACTTTGCTTTATAGGGCAAAATGTTGGGCGATCAAGGGATAGAATTCGAAATGATGTTGAGATAATGAATGTAGATGAGACGAGGATGTTGAGATTGATGAGTGGCAATACAACAATGGATAAAATTCGAAATGAATACATTAGGGAGACCCTAGATGTGGCTCCAATAGGCAATAAGATGAGAGAAATAGACTTAGGTGGGCTGGCCATGTGCAACATAGACCCAGTTACAGAACCTGTTACAAGGTGCGAGTTGGTTCACGTGGAAGGCTAAAAAATGCCAAGTGGTAGGCCAAAAGGACATGGTTGGAAGTAGTGAGAGAAGAAATGTGGATTTATTGCCTCAATGACGGTATGGTTTTTGATAGAGCAGAATGGCGGACGAGGATTTGTATAGCCGACCCCAAATCATTGGAAAAGGCTCTCATGATGATGGTGAAACAGGATTATGTGAAAAACATTAAATTTCTTGCAAACATACAATCTTTATATGGCTTGGGTAATTCAGTTTGCCAAGTAATAAAACACCAGCAATTATAGAAATGTTTTAGAGAACAAACAATTGAGATTTGCAGGTACAAAGCATGTGAAAAATCACATAAACATGGAATACAACCGAAAGGCTTCACAATAAATGCACCATGTTCACCTAACCACAATGATATGTTTCAAAGAGATGCAATAAAAATGGGGGCAGCAAACTGCAAAGCAACATAATATAACTATCGAATGATTATGCAAGATTTTTCAGAAAAAAAATCATTTACAAAACTAATGGAAACTATCAAGTCCTCATTAAGTAAAGAGTACCTAGGATAACCATGAGGATTCATAATCAAGTCGGGGCAAATCCCACGTTCAGAAAATGGAAGGTCTTCTTGCTGTACGATGGTACCACAAACACCTTTCTGCCCATGCCTGCTACTGAATTTATCACCCACCTAATAGCCAATAATGAGAAAGCGTATTAGTTTTGTAAAGTTTGGAAACATTTAATTGGTTTCCATATAATCAAAGCTGAAACTAAATTTTGCTAAGGTACTGTATTTGGAGCTTACCTCAGGCCTTCGGGTATGACGAAAGAGAAATTTGATGCATATGTTTTCGTTGTTATCTGACATTAGTAACACCTTATCAACAATAGCTGTTTCCCCTTTTGGGCCTTTGTAGGTTACAGGTGTGTTCTTATATTGACTGCAATTCAGAAGCCACATGATTTAGTTCACATGGAAACATATGTAATAAAGAGATTTCATCATAAGTTAAAATGGAAACCAAAGCAAAAACATCATATACATGATATTTATACACAGACAGACATCCACTGTACATCTAAAAGACAAACAGTGGAAATGAATGCAGTTCCTCCAAGAATGCTTTTCACAACCATACTAGAGTCTATCCCCAATCTCCATCTGGAAACAGAGGGTTGACGCCTGCCTCTGTATTTGCACATAATTATGCATGTTATACTTCACAAATTAATTTAACTTGGTTAAGTAAATTCACCTGTCAGATAATTCCCTATTGGGAGTGGCAGTTGTATTTACAGGACTTTGCTTGTTTACATAAATGTCATTAGGTCCAATTATTTCACCAGGACAAGCAATTCCATCAGTATCTAGTATCTGCATCATGGACAGTCTTGCGTGAGTACTTCATAACAAAGAATAAAATCAGAAAATTTGAGAATTTGAGAACCATTTTAAGCATCAATAGATAACAAAGTGTCCAGTAATGAAAATGATACAGATACATACAACACCCATTAAAGGCATAATCACTTTTCACTGGCCTACCTTGTATACAATTTTTTTCTCTAGGATCAAGAAATACATGAAGAAAATAGTGTAACACATCAAGAATTTTCTAATGATAAACATTAAAGAAGGTTGGTTTGTTATGTGTCACTTTCACTGTAAATAAAAAGGATTGACCTTTGTTTCTTTCATCAATAATATCAACTAGGATCTCTCTTAAGTGGATGAAAAACACTTCAGTGATAAATCATCAAAAATATTAAATTCTGAAAAGAAACTAGCAACCTTGGTGTGACCAAATAGGAAATTACACCAAGTGATTCAGGTGACACTATGCATTGAACAATCAAATGCCAATGGGACCATTGCTCCCCACTGTGGTCTACCAGTGCTCCTTACTGTGGTCTGAGTCTAGAAAACTAGGGCTCTTATTACTGAACAGGAGGAGTACACAACACTTATTTTGAAGCTGCATTGACTATAGATTTTTTGCTATTTGCTTGGAGAAAATCCTACTTAAGGAGACTGCTTATGTGACTGGCTGTGAGCATGCTTACTGTTTTCATGTATTAAATACCATGTTGCATCAAAACACTTAGGCAACAATATGGTTATGATCCATTGATTTCTAGTCACAATATTCATGGCGAAGATAAATCTAAATCTAACATATCTGATCATAGTTTTGTGCATGCGAATGATAGTGGATCTCATTTCATGAGATTTGGAGATTGCAGAAAGGATGAAGAGGCTATGATCCTTAATCCTGCACCTCGGGATGGAACTGGTATTAAACGTGTTTCTCGTGATTTAGTTTCAAAGGTAGATTCTGGTGCTACCTATCGTGTGGTATCTGGGTCTGGTTAAGCGGAGATGCCTGCGAAGGATAATAATATGCAGGAAGAAAATGGTGCTGCCTTTCATGTGGTATCTACCTTTGGCAGTGACATCATTTCTGGTTGTTCTTTGATGCCTGCGAAGGACAATATCTCTTTTTGCATTGATTTATAGAATGCTTCTTCTGTGCATTCTAGTACGTGCTTCGGTGTGTCTCCCTGCTGGTATTGTTTTATCAAAAAAAGGATGGCTTACTTGCTAGCCATGGTAATGTGCAAGCTAAAGTTATGGGTCACAATCTTTTGGGTTGTGTTTCTAGTTCCACAGAAGATGGTCGTGAAGCTGCCCACATTGGGAACGTTTTGGGTGTTCGAAGTTCTGCCCCATGCAATGTTATTGATCACGCTATTGACTCTGGTGGGGTTGCAAATGATGTTGAGTATGGTCACCGTCTCAGTTATGTTATTCGTGATGGTTATGGGTTGCCTGCACCTACGGTTGTGGGTGAGCATGCAGATCAGCCAGCTCGTTCTCCCTTTGGGGATATTCCTCGGTCCATAAATTCTGGTCTTGATGGTACTGCTCAAATTATCATGAACCGAGAGACAATGATTGAAAATCTTCGTACGGGCCCTGGCTCGAGATCTACTACTGTTGATCTTGATGGGGTCGTCAGGAGTCCTGTAAGGGAGGTCTTTCCACCCTTGGTGGTTCGCTCAGAGCATACTATATATGGGAATATAGGAAGTCAACCTATTGTTGGTTCCGGCAAAGGCAAGGAGATGGATGTTACACCTTGGAAAAAGAAAATTTGGTGGTAAGAATGACCTAGGATCTACTTCAGGTTTTCATAGTGAAGGTATCGTAAGGGAGGAAATTCCATCCTTGGTTTCAAAGAACAAGAATGGAAGCTTAGCTAACAGCTGTTGGGACTCGAGTAGGTCCTCAAACATGTTATTTGATGCCAAAGGTGTTCAAAATGGAGTGTTTTACTTTGAGGAGATGGATACTTTACCCACTGAAATTATTAATGGTAAAAAAATTATCAAAATTGAAAAGAAGTTGATAGACTCATGTCGGAGTAGGTGGGAAAACTGCTTATTGGGTACTTCTTGGGCCGCTGACCCGATTGGAATTATCTGAAAGAGATGTTGAGGAAAATGTGGAGGCTTGAGCATGATGTTGAAGTATTCTCCGCTGATGGGGGGGTTCTTGATTTTTCGATTCCGTTCTAGGAAGGAGATGGAGGTTGCCAGTACGAAGGGACCATGTTATATCAACAGAAAATGTTTGGTGCTTCAAGAATGGAATCCATCAGTTCAATCCTCATGGAATCCATCAGTTCAACCCTCTAGGCATACTCGCCAAGCTGTGTCAATTTGGATCAAATTGCCAAGGTTGCCAATGATGTATTGGGAACCGAACATTCTGTTTTGTATTGCCTCTAGTGTTGGAAAGCCCATCTTCATGAACAAATCAATAAAATTAAGATCAAGGGCTGAGCCAAGGGTGTGTTTTGCATTGGTCTTGACTGAAGTTTGGCTGGACATGTATGGGAAGGATTATAGGCAAGAGATAGTTTATAAGTTCATACCCTCGATCTGCTCTAAATGTCGGAGGGTGGGCCATAAGGCTGAATTATGTTGAGCAAATTTAAGTGCAAAGGCTAGTGCAACAATTGTTCTTAATGGTGGTACTTCTGTTAAGTTACCCTCAAGGGAAGAGCGTTGGAACGTAGTCAAAGGGAGACAATAGTTAGTATATAAACAGAGGGTGAAGGAAAAGCATTAATGGTTTTCTAACCCTTCCCAATGTGCCAAGGGAGAATAATGTGCTGATTATCGACCACACTGTTAGTTCTCACGCTACGAATAGTGTGGACTCGAAGGATATCATTTCTAATGCTTTTGAAATTCTAGCCAATGTCCAAGAGGATAACCATGTGTCTCTTATTGAGAAGGCAATTAGCTCTTATGAAAAAACTACAATCGACACTTAGCTTAACTCTGACAGCCACAAAAAGGCCTTCAGAACCTACCTCACTGAAAAACAACTAACGCTGTAAGGCCACAGTGTTAGGAATTTACGGCACGCTTCTTACTACGCACTTGTCAACCCTGATGCTCAATGCTCAATGCGAGTCCAGTCCTCCAACAGAGGAAAGAGGCAAGCGGTTCAAGCTCCAGCCAAAAAGAATCCTCTGAGGCGGGCTGACTTCGGATATTTGTATTGGACCAAAGGTTCGTTCTATCCACGAGAAAGATGAAGCTCGAGAAAGACTTGCCATCGCTCCGCTAGAGCTGCTTAAGAGGCGTATCACTAAGGCTTAGGCTTACTCGAGGTGTATGGTCCAGTGAAAGAAAAGAAAAGGGAGGACGAGGAGAAGTTTCCGAGTAGAAGTGCCGATCGACCAAATCGAAGTGACGAAAGGAGAGAAAGGTGCAAGGAACGAAGTCGAAGTTTATATAGGAACAGAGACTTTTCCTGCGACGAAAGGCAGGACGAGAAAAGCGTTGAGTGAGCTTTAGAGGCCGGATCAAACCAAAGCCCTCAAACCCTTATTTAGGCTTGTAAGTCAGTTTCAAGTAGCTCACTTATAATCCTATGGGTGATTCTGATGTGCAATAGGATTATGAGGTTACAATTATGACTAATGTCAATAATATTGGTGTGCCTGGTGATGTCAAGGATCTGTCGCCAGTGACTGAGTGTTTCGTCACCAACTGAGGATGGTGAATACTCGCTCTTGCCACAGAATGCAGTTCTGAACTGTGAAGTTTCGTTGATGACTATGGACAGCCAAGCTGATGTAAACAATGCTACCCACTCTATGATCACAAATGTTGATATCATTACGATTATGGTGATTGATAAAGCAATTGTTATACCTACAGTCATGCATTCCTTAGTCCATGGCCATGATCAAAAGGAATGTGAGAACAGTCTCAAGCAGTTAACATCACTACTGACGTAGAGAAAGATGGGGAGGAGTATGATGTTGAGGGAAGTTTGGATCCCTTGTTTATGGAGGATCCGAGAATCTGTGGTAATGGCAAGGGTGTGACTGAGCCACAGGGGGACACGTTAGAGGATGACATGGGGAATATTGTTGGTTGTCACAATCCCAAGCAGCAAGTCGAAGTAAGTCATAGCAAATCTCTGGAAAAGGAAGTCGATAAGGTGGAAGGTTCTAGTAAGCGATTGCAGGATCATGCTGAAAAGTGAGAAGCTTCCTCAAGCTCGAACTAGATCGCAATTGAGAGCCTCTTTGGCAGCTATAGGTGACAAGAAGGGGAATTCTATTAGCTTTAAGCGATACGAAATGATTAATTCTAAGAGCTACAGGTGACAAAAAGGAGTTACCTGATAGGGTTCAATGTGCTCCAACAACTTCTGAAGGTAAGGTTTCCCTTACCCAACGACCAAACCTCTAATGTTATTTATTTCAATTGCAGCTTAGAATGTTAAGGGTCTTCAAGGCCGGGGTAGAATATCAGATATTGGGGTTTTAAAAGGACAACATAATCTTGGTCTTCTTTTCCTATTGGCAACTAAGCTTCTTGTGGAGTTGAGCCGTATTTGGTCTAAAAAGTTGGGCTTTTATAATAGCTTTATTGCTAATGAGATCAATGGTAGATCCAGAATTTTAATGATATGGAAACCTTTAATTTACTTAATCAAAATGTAAGGTCCGAGACTTTTCTGGTCGTTGATCCTATTTACATTTTGAATTGTTTCCCATTAATGCTTATCTCAGTTTTCTTTTTGATTTGTTGTATAACCGCTGTCTAGTGTTTTGAGAGGTTCTGTGTTATTATAGCGATCGTGAGCTTTCTGACGGTACAAAAATCGCTCAAATCCGAGCAATCGTCAGAAAGATATGATTTATACCCCAAATTGTTTTTCGTGTGCATCCCCATGCTGCGTGCATGCATCCCCATGCTTGCACACATGCTTATGTGCGTGAATCCCCATGAAAACTCACCCATCCCAATGCACATGATTACATCATGCATGCCCCCCACACAAAG